ATAGATAGATAGATAGATAGATAGATAGATAGATAGATAGATAGATAGATAGATAGATAGATAGATAGATAGATAGATAGATAGATAGATAGATAGATAGATAGATAGATAGATAGATAGATAGATAGATAGATAGATAGATAGATAGATAGATAGATAGATAGATAGATAGATAGATAGATAGATAGATAGATAGATAGATAGATAGATAGATAGATAGATAGATAGATAGATAGATAGATAGATAGATAGATAGATAGATAGATAGATAGATAGATAGATAGATAGATAGATAGATAGATAGATAGATAGATAGATAGATAGATAGATAGATAGATAGATAGATAGATAGATAGATAGATAGATAGATAGATAGATAGATAGATAGATAGATAGATAGATAGATAGATAGATAGATAGATAGATAGATATAGATATAGATATAGATATAGATATAGATATAGATATAGATATAGATATAGATATAGATATAGATATAGATATAGATATAGATATAGATATAGATATAGATATAGATATAGATATAGATATAGATATAGATATAGATATAGATATAGATATAGATATAGATATAGATATAGATATAGATATAGATATAGATATAGATATAGATATAGATATAGATATAGATATAGATATAGATATAGATATAGATATAGATATAGATATAGATATAGATATAGATATAGATATAGATATAGATATAGATATAGATATAGATATAGATATAGATATAGATATAGATATAGATATAGATATAGATATAGATATAGATATAGATATAGATATAGATATAGATATAGATATAGATATAGATATAGATATAGATATAGATATAGATATAGATATAGATATAGATATAGATATAGATATAGATATAGATATAGATATAGATATAGATATAGATATAGATATATCTATATATATATACATATATATAGATATAGATATATATATATATACTGTTGCAAAAAACATGTTTGATTACCAAAAAAGGCAGTATGGTCACAATGCGAGGGAGTGGGTGACACCAATTAAGAGTGACACTAATAGAACAAATCGTAAAATATAGGCTACTGTCAAAACAATATGTATCAAGTTAAATGAAGAAAATGGTAGTGAAAAAAAGCGAAATCAAACTTAAAAATGCAATAAAAAATGTTGGAGGTGGGGTGGAGGGTGACACCCTATATTACAGTACCGGGTGACACTCGACCTAATGACGCCACTGAATAAAGGCTCTGTTTTTATAATTCATCTCTGAAAGTTTAACTGTTGACGTCAAGAAACAGTTTAAAGCATATACTTATATGTACGACATCGTATACTGAGGTAACCCCCGCCCACATACCCGGATGTTCCCAGTATCTTATTGACCAATGTTGTTTCGTATATCATATGACGGAATGTAAAATATAATCTGAATTTAATCCCTTAATAAAAACCTTTAACAGGCTAATTGCTTGCAATGTAAATTGTTACCAATTACGTTAACCCGAGCTCAGCTTAATCTGTTTAACAGACAGCCTGATATTAGAGAAGAAATGTGCAGGTAACTGTTAGCGTAACATCACATTACGTTGATGACAATAGTCGGCATAGACAAAAATGTTCTTCATTAAATGAATAAACTGAATTGGGGGAAATATTTTTGTGGCACGTCATTACCTGTTGTATATAAAGCATTGTTGTTTGGTTTTTAGGACGTGAAGAAAAACCTAAGTTCAAGTAAGATTTCGACTGAGCGGTATTCGAACCAGCACCTATAAAGTCCTCTACCTGCCCAAGACACAACCCTTACCTAGCAAGATGCTACAGCTGACCAAGTCTCGACCTGCCAGATACCTGATGTCCACCGTCATCGCTTTCGTCATCATCAACCTGCTCATCGTGCTGACAACAAGGTTTAGACATCAGGACATATCCACACAGACCTACGGTCAGTGGTCAGTTGTTTGTTGTTGCTCAACGTCACAGTGTTATGTTTGGTGTTAAGTTTATGTTGATCCTTACATAGCATTGGATTTCTGTTGTTATTACTTGGATGTGGTTGTTAGGTATCTTAATGATGCTGTGTTGTACAACTAGTCTGATTTTTGGGGATGAAGATGTTAAACACTGCTTGTTGCGACGAGAGCGAGGTTAGAGGATGCCACCAAATTCAAATACACAACAGCAATAGGAAACTAATCAACGAAAATTGCCATTATGTTTTACACATAGCTACAGGTTTTTTTTTTTACCAACACGAAAATACTCTTAAAATCTAAAGGCTCCAGCGCATTACAAATTGGTGTCTACATCCTGTTGTAGTGTGAAGATTAACTCCCTTATTATACAATTGTGTTTATTCCCCCCTTATCGTTTAAATTATTTTTTATCCCGGATCTGTAGGAAAATCGATGAGAAGTATAAAGCTCAAGAGTTTCGTCAAAAAATTGAAAAGATTATATGAGACACATATCGTACTTAGTTATCAACTCTTCACCTGTCCTGAAGCGTTCATTATTACTTGTTAGCTAGGTTTAGCCCTTATTGTCTAATAACATTTTCTCTGCTAAATGAAAGGTTTCATTTATTTCGTTTACACGGCAAATAATAATTCTCAGGTCTATTCAATGTTAACGCTAATACAAATCCTAAGCTTATCCTAAACTAGGTTTCAGATTAACCCGTAGCACCACGTTTTAACTCTACCTGTTTGGACAGATACCAACCTCTAAACTATCCCGTTACTGAGAAATTGACAAGATCCTTGTATTTTCAGAAGTTTTCCGGCGATATGACCCGTACGGACAATTCAAGAATGGGAAGAAAGTCGTTGATATGGTCGTTCAGGACAGCCGGAGACCTACGGAGCCGAAATTTCCCATTGATATTGTACAAGGGAAGCAACTACTCGATATCCCAAACACGGGGGTCTATAAGACCCCCAACACAGAGGACCTTGGCGATAAGACCCCCATCACGGAGGATACGGTTGATGAGACCCCCAACACGGACCCACCACGACCTGCTTGCCAGGACTCGTCTCACACGGGGACCGAGTCGCCTGAGATTGAAAATAAACCCGAGGGCCTTACCCAGCTGAAACTCTGTCCGTTTGACTTAGAAAACTTGAGTAAGTCACGTCACAATCACGTTTTAGTATTGGTTTGAAATATCTAATTACAGATGATTAAAATATTAATTACAATTCAACAAACCAGACAATTAAAATGTTTGAATACTCAAGCCGGTTTTATATCCTCCTATTGTAACCTTTCTGTTCACGTGTTATAGTCGGCCATCTTGCTCCAATGACCCAGAACATCGAACCCTCTCAACTGGAGAAATACTTCCCTGACCTTGAAGACGGCGGACGACTTCGACCACGTGACTGCGTGCCCAGACAACGGCTGGCACTGATCATCCCCTACAGGAACCGTTGGCTCCATCTCCACGTCATGTTACATAACCTGTTGCCTATACTCAAACGGCAGCAGGCTGACGTCACCATATTCGTCATTGAACAGGTGAGTTGAACTGTACCTGATACTTTTTTACGGGTGTTGTCTGACACTCCTGTTTAATATATCTCTGTCCAATGTTTGTCTTATTAAAACTAAAAAATTAAAACTGTTCTACCTTAAGCAACTATATCTCTGTCCAATGTTTCCCTACTCAGATGTTGCCGGGTAGATTCAATAGAGGCGCCTTGTTGAACATTGGTTTCCTTGAGGCGGAGAAATTGGGCGACTTCGACTGCTACATTTTCCATGACGTTGATTTGATTCCACTCAACGACTACCACCTGTACAGGTGTGACAGCCAGCCCAGACATTTTGCTGTCTACATGAACAAGTACAACTACAGGTGGGTTGGTTACAGTTAGGTTTGTATATTTGCATTGTAGGTTCATAAAGGCAGCACAAATACAATTAATTTATAAAGATAACCTCATAAGCTGCATAAAGCTAGACATAGTTACATAGAAAAGGTTTACAGTTAGCGACAAAAGCAGGTTGATATTAGCTACATGTAGACTTATATTTGTAGACACAGCTACATTTTAAAATGCTGTCTCATCTATTGCAAATTGATATCAAAATCGTAATAAGAGTTATTCGTAATATGTATTTACTTATCTGTCTATCCACACATTTTACCTGCTTTAAACCGCCCCCCCTCCGCCCATCTTACATGTCTTAAAGTATGTTCCCACCCAGCCTAACTTAACTTAAACTCTAACTCTCTAGCATAGCGTACCCAGAATACTTTGGGGGCGTGGTTGGATTCTCGCGAGGTCAGTACCTGAAGATCAACGGAAACTCAAACTTGTATTTTGGCTGGGGAGGAGAGGACGACGATCTGTATCTCCGGTAAGGTGGACTTATATGGTTTCCTTTGTACTGGTCAAATTTAATGTTGTTATAGTTCTACGCCATGTAAGGTGGACTCATAGGGTTTCCTTTGTACTTTGTACTGGCCATATGTAATATTGTTGTAGTTCTACGCCGTGTAAGGTGGACTTATAGGGTTTCCTTTGTACTGGTCATATGCAATGTTGTTGTAGTTCTACGCCATGTAAGGTGGACTCATAGGGTTTCCTTTGTACCTGTAAAGTTCTATATATATATATATAGTTCTTTACCTTGTAAGATAAACGTACATCATTTTCCTTGTACCTCTGATATGTAGACTTATGATGTTTCAGTTCTATACCAATAAGGTGGACTTATATGGTTTCCTTTGTACCTGTAAAATTTATATAGTTCTATACCTAGTAAGGTAAACTTACATTATTCCCCTTGAACCTGTCATATGTAAAGTTGCTATAATTCTATACCTAGTAAGGTAAACTTACATGATTACCCTTGTACCTGCCATATGAAAAGTTGCCATAGTTCTATACCTTCTACGGCGGGCTAAAATGATTTCACTTGTACCTCCGACATGTAGACTAAAGTTGTTTCAGTTCTATACCGAGTAGGGTGGAATAACATTAACTTCCTTGTACCTCCCCAAGGTGTACGAGAACCTGTCCATTGTTTTAATCAGAAAAAACTAGTGTCCCTCTTACATGAAGATGATATCATAAGACTCGTACATTCCAAACCGACTAGCAGCTTGGCCAAATAACAAATGAAATAGAAAATAGTTTTGACTGTTTAATATTTTCTAAATTTTTAATGTGCAATTTATTAAGAAATATACCTAACCTTACAAAGAACGAAGGATTTTGTTATCGATGTGCGTGTTTACGAGATCAGGCCTTTGATCAATAAGCATAAAAAGTAATATTTAGGCCGATATATATATATATATATATATATATATATATATATATTATATATGTATATATGTTTATATATATATGTATGTATGTATATATATATATATATATAATATATTATATATATATATATATATATATATATATATATAAATATTATATATATGTATATATGTTTATATATATATGTATGTATGTATATATATATATATATATAATATATAATATATAATATATATATATATATATATATATATATATATATATATATATATATATATATATATATATTTATATATATATATATATATATATATATATATATCCTCATTTAAATTAAAAATAAAAAGTTAAAAAAAATTACTTTTTTGTTTGAATAAAAAATATTATTTTGGAACACAATTTTAATTTTTAATGAAGAAATTAAGTTATCTCCTGTATATACATCATCGAAATTAGCAGATCGTATGTTGACTCAAACCACAATTAATTAATTTAAGACACTTTAACCAATCTCATAATTCGTCAATAAATCATAATTATTAATTAATGTGTATTGGATCGTCCAATTGTGATGTGCCCTCTAAACGGATGCTGATGTTCTCTGTGTTGCAGGACGCTTTGGCAAGGTTTCGGTGTGTCAAGGTCATCCAAGTACCTTGCCAAGTACTCCATGTTCAATCACTCCAGGGACAAAGGCAATGAGGACAACCCTCATAGGTAAGTCATCTCAGTCAGCTTCAGCCTGCCGCAGTCATCTCTCTACAGGTAAGTCAAGTCAGTCAACTTCTGACTGCCGCAGTCATCTCTCTACGACATATCAGTCAGCTTCTACCAGCCGCAGTCATCTCTACATGTAAATCATCTCAGTCAGTTTCTGACCGCCGCAGTCATAACTGTACAGATGATTCGTCTAAATCAACTTCAGCTTTAACGGTTGAATAGCTCATCAGTGATGGTCTAAGCAACAAGCCAAGGAGTAACGTTCCCTTTTAAGACCTAAGAATGTATAGGGCAGATGAAGTATTCTTCATATGTTTCTCGACCTCAGTATATGGAGGGATGATGTGGTCAGCACTATGTCCAGCGCTTTAACTTTCCCTAACTTGAGTGTTGTGGTGCCATCAGAGCTGGGTGGACTCACGTTTATCCTGCAGACTAGAGACGAAACTGAGATCCAAACTCGTTACATTCGGCCTAGCAATCGAGTGCCCTACCGTTCGACCACGCTCTTTCATTAGCGTATGATTTCAACGAACACCAATAACTATTGGTTGAATCAAATGGATACATCATAATAGATTCAAATAAATTCGTCTTGAGTTGGATCAGTTAGCTTATGGTTAAATAAATTAATCTCTTTATTCAATTAGCTTATGGTTGTATCAATTATATGATCGTTGTGGTCAGGCAGATATGTTTACTAACTCGGAAGTCCTGAGTTCGAACCCCCATCAGACTGAGACGACAACCATCTAGGGTAAAGAAAAATCCGAAATCCAACAGGAGTGGAGACATTAGGCGATATACATACATGGGCAACATCTATTCAATACACAACCATCTGTATATATACATATATATATATATATATATATATATATATATATATATATATATATATATATATATATATATATATATATATATATATATATATATATTCTCTATTCCCAGAAAGAAGATGCTAAAACTGGCGACCAAGAGAATGTCTGGAGATGGTTTAAATACATGCATGTACAAAGTGAACGAAGTTACATTGAAAAAGCTGTACACTTGGATTAGTGTGTCATTAAACGAGACAGACATATTAAAGGTAATATTTCAAATGTGTACCGTTAAAACGGTATTCGTTTTCGTTGATATTATTTGTGTCATTATTCAAATGACGTGGTGTGTTTTGTCTCTCAAAGTTATACTAAGATTCATTTGATTATTATTTCCTTTAAAATGTGTACATGTTATGTGGAAGGATAGGTATATGTTGGCTACCAACAGTACCATACAAGTGTCATATAGATTCAATTAGCTACCAACAGTACGATACAAATGTCAAATAGATTCAATTAGCTACCAACAGTACGATACAAATGTCATATAGATACTATTAGCTACCAACAGTACGATACAAATGTCATACAGATTCTATTAGCTACCAACAGTACGATACAAATGTCAAATATATTCAATTAGCTACCAACAGTACGGTGCAAATGTCATATAGATTCAATTAGCTACCAACAGTAAGATACAAATGTCAAATAGATTCAAGTAGCTACCAACAGTACGAAAAAATTGTCAAATAGATTTAATTAGCTACCAACAGTACGATACTTTTGTCATATAGATTCAATTAGCTACCAACAGTACGGCACAAATGTCAAATTGATTCAATTAGCTACCAACAGTACGAAAAAAGTGTCAAATAGATTCAATTAGCTACCAACAGTACTGCACAAATGTCAAATTGATTCAATTAGCTACCAACAGTACGATACAAAATGTCATGTATGTGTATGTTGTATACGTTCCACCTCTGTCATCAGACAGCACCAAGCTACATGCTGCACCTGATGTCCGCCACACAAAAACCTGAGACCAAACTACAACGCACGATAACCAACTTGACCGATGTTGTACACGTCAACAAAACAGACTCCGTCAAGTCAACGAGATAGCCTCGGATCCGAACCCACAATAGTTTAAACTAGAACTGTTCTAGTGCACAGATAATCAAAGGGAGAAAAATGTCTTTAAGTACTAAAGTGGTTTTTTTTATTAAATTATGCTACTGCCAATTGTAAATATATCTAACGGGTACATTAAGGAGCTATGTTTGATAGAGATATTGTCAGAGGCGTAGCAAGGGGGTGGGGGCGGGGGGGGGTGCGGACCGCACCGGGTGACACCATTTTGGGGGGTGGCACCAAGGCAAAAAATAGCAAAATATATAGAGAAAAACCTGAGGGGGGGGGTGCAAATCGAAAGTTTGAAGGGGGGGGATGCAAATCGAAAACTCGAGGGGTGGTGCAAGTCGAAAGTTTGAGGGGTGGGGGGGGGGGAGGTGCAAATCGAAAACTTGAAAGTTTGTCCCCGGGAAGGGTCGCTACGCCTCTGGGGGGTGACACCATTAAGTGCCGCACCGGGTGACACCCGACCTCGCTACGCCACTGGATATTGTGATAATGTATGTTTAGATTACCATAAGAAAAATAAAGATTTGCTTGTACTTACGTTTGT